GTCTGTTATCTCTTCCATACGGAGCTTAGGAACCCGTCTGAGATACAGATTTTCCCAGCTTCCCTTCACTATCTCTATTGCCTCATAGTATTCATATCAGTGTGTACAGCAGAGACGTTCTAATTTTAGTATGCATGGACCAGGGGTGGGTTTCTCGTGCACGCGCGCAGTGCACGCATGCGTACTAGTGTCTGTGCGATGCTCCAGCTGCTCCTGGAGGATTGCGCAGGCGCTGTATGCATCCTGCGCATATGTGGAAGCGCAGAACTCGTCAAAACCGGGTAAGGAACGCGGGCGGGCGGGTGCGCCCTTCGCCGTTCCCGGAAGTTACTTACTTCTGGGTTCGCTGACCAACCGGTTCGCTGACCAACCGGTTCGCGGGGACCGCCGCAAACCGGTTGAAACCTACCCCTGGCATGGACATACAAGGAGGGAAGCAGTATTTTAACAACACTTCCACTCTGAAGATTAATTTTATATTGCAAATACCTTCCATTAAAAAAAAAACTATTGATTTGTATAGATCTTCCAGCAAATGAACATTGGTTACATTTTGTAAAGGAGAAATTTACATTTTCACCGGTTAATAGCACTTTATCATATGCCTTCTCAAATCAACAAAATTCGCTACCTCAGAATTACAGGATTCTATGTGTGTTGTGAACATTCTGAGCGAAATGAGCTTTAAACATTTGAAAGATTGTATTGGTTACCCCATTGAACGTAGAAGTAAAAAAAAAATAGGTATGTGAGCCTACCAATAAATAGTGCATGGAAGAAAAAAAAATGAGGCCAACGGTGACTCATCTTGGGGTCATACTGGAGGCTCTGAATATCAGATAGAACCTTGTCACACTAAGTTGCACCAGAAAAATTAGTATTACAAAGTTTAATTAAAAAAAGGTTTTGAAACAAGCATTGAATTCAACTTGATATTAACTCAAATTTGTTTTTGTGATCATAAAACGCTTGTAAATTACTAATTGAAGGCTCAGCATTAAATGTAAGAATGTAAATGCGTGTCTTAATACCGAGAATTACTATTTAACCCCAGTTTTACATAAGGGTTTCTTCAAAATGGTGCACTAACAGTCATTTTCGACTTTAGGCATCCATTTGAGCATAATTTCTATGCCCTCTTGTTTTGCTTTGGATAGCGTGTCTATCTGAAACTCTTAGGCACAGGAAATGTAATGGATGCGCCATGCGATGTTGGCGAAGCAGGTTTCCCACGAACACTCCTTGTCTTCTTTTCAAAGGCACTGATGGTGACCGTGTTCCAATTTCCCCCAGCGAAGGTTGTCTTGAACCTTACTATTGGGTCTGGGTGAATTTTAGCTGTGATACTTTAGCATAGATACAACAGTTCTAACTGCAGTGCCCTGACACATGTATATTCGAATGTGACTCATAGTCACAATTATTACTAGGATAAAAATGCAGAGTTCCGGGCCTGCATTGCAATAGCGTTAGTGAATGGTACAGACTTCAAGCACAGAATACTCACTCGTTTTCAATTAAACGTTCCGATAAAAAGTATCAAATTAGTCATCTTCAGTTTCTGGAACATATTCAGATCCACATTCGGTTCATATAGGTCTGAACTTGTTTCCATATTGTGGGAAAGAGACATTATTTGTGTATTCACGTCAGTAGTGGGATTCGAAAATTTTTACTGCCAGTTCTGTGGGCATGGCTTGTTGGGCATGGCAGGGGAAGGGTAGTATAAAATCTCCTTTCCCTCCCCACTCCAGGGGAAGGTTACCGCAAAATCCCCATTCCCTCCCGATCAGCTGGACTCGGGAGGCAGAGACTAGATGGGGGCGTGGCCAGTAAGATGTGACATTTATCGGTTCTCTGAACTACTCAAAATTTCCGCTAGTGGTTCTCCAGAACTGGTCAGAACCCGCTGAATACCACCTCTGATTCACGTGTCCAGAAACTGAGGCAAACACTAGGTGTTGCAGTCACATGGGAGCAGCCAAGCACAACAATTGGCTGCTGCAAATAGAACCCAGTAGTTAGTGTAGATTGCATTCAATAGAGTAGATAGAACCTTGTAATTTTGCTATTTGGGATGAATTTATTTAGAAATTTTATGAAATAAGTTGTTAAAAAAACCTTGTCTAACACTTAACTCATTTTCAACGAAAATGTCAGACAGAACCAGGGGTGGGTTTCAAAAAATGTTGGAACCTCTTCTGTAGGTGTGGCCTGCTTTCCGGGTCCACTGGTGGACCCCCTTCTAACCGGTTCGGTAGATTTGACGAACCGGTTCTACCGAATAGATGCGAACTGGTAGGAACCCACCTCTGGATAGAACCCTGTAATTCTGAGGTAGTGAAATGTACAATAGTTTCCTTTTCACAACTGCGCATTTCTCAGATACTCGCTGAAGAGCAAAAATGTAATCTGCATATACTTGCCAGCATAAAACCAGACAATAGTTGCTTACTATTGCTTCTGGAACTCTTTCAATCAAAATTCTGCTAAATTACCTTCCCTGGCACATTTAACAAACTAAAATCCCTATAGATTTTGCATTCATTTTTTACTATTCTCTCTTTACATAAGGAAACAATTATTTCAGTCCTCGGGCAGAGATGCTAACCAAGTCAGACAACTACTCCATAAGCAAAACTACATTCAGATTTTAATATTACTGAATTTGTCTAAATCTGGACCATTGCCATCTTACAAGATTCTTACAGCATTTTTTATCTTGTTTTCATCATTTTTACAACCATTTAAAACATTTGTTTCCCTTCCATTTTGACATACGTTATCGTCTTCTATGTTAACTATGAGGATATACTGATCAGTCTGTACACCCAAGAACTATCAAAGCTCAGTTTTACTCTGTTTTTGTGAAGCAAAGCAAAATTTCTAATCGATAGACGAGTTTGTAAATCAACATATTATTGTATATATTGCACCAGGTAAATGCAGTCTAACGTACACAGATCTGTCAATCTGTGTTAATTTGTGTCTCAACAAATGAAGACTTTAGTCATTGGAAGGCATTTGCATTCTCTATAGCAGTGTTTCCCAAAGTGTGGGACGCGTACCCCCAGGGGTACGGGAAGAGTTTGGTGGGGGTACGCGTTGCACCGGAGTTTGGTGGGGATTACGTGGGAATATCCACTGCACGTTGCTTAGCTGCGCCCACAGAACAAGGAAAGAAATAGGCGCATATCGCAGTTTTTACATGGGAACTGGGGCCATCGTACATCGTATCGCAACTCATTATGGCGGGAACTTCTGCGCATCCTTCGCGCAGCTCGGGTTTGGCCATTTTTAAACTGCGGAAACATTAACAGTTGACATTGAGCCGCGGAGCTGTTTAAACGCCGGAGAATTGCAGTGTTATCTAATGGTTAGACAGTCTTGTGAGGCGTGACACAATTTCATCCTTCTCATTGAATCAAATAAATGTTCTTTATAATATAACTTTTGTTTATTTTGCATATGTACCTAAAAAGTAAATATATTTTGATTTTTATTAAAGCATATGTTTTTTATGAGGGGTATTCAGCGTTACGAAAATTATAGAAGGGGTACACATATGTCAAAAGTTTGGGAAACACTGCTCTACAGTCAATCTGTTTATAGTGCTTTATAAATCACTTTTTATAACAATTGCTAGAACAGTTGCTATGCAGTATTTTTTTCTTTTATTATTCTTTTTTTTCTCTTAAAAGCCCCCTTTATTTAGCATAATGTTGCTTTTTTTGTTCTGTTTGATTTGGCACAGTTTCTGTGTATTCTTGTAACTCTTCCATTTCCTTTGTCCCCATCCAACTTAAGCTGTTTAATGTACATTAAAATTTATTTAGTATTTTATATTATGGGACAGCCAATCTTCCAAAGATAAAAACATGCACAGCATTCCATATTCTGAAATTCTTGATTAATTTTAATCTTTCTGTATAGCAGTGGGAGGAAATCATAAAATATTTGGCCTATGGGATATTTGTGCTGTGCTTCCATTATGAAGTGAGCCTTATCTTGGGTAGATTACAGTTACAATCTGCAATCAGGCTTGCTTATTTACTAATCCCTCAAATCTCTTCCCAAAAGCTTCCTCTGGCCATACCATTTCTCATTATTTGCAGCCAGAAATTAGAATCCTGTAATTTTTGAAGTTAGAGCTCTTCCAGACTTCCGTTTCATGTTTATGATGTTAAGGAATCTTATCTATGTGAGTTCTACTCCCCTTTAGAATGTTAAATTTTAAAGAAGTTTCACTCTGACCCACAGATTCTTTAGATTTGGTCCTCTTCTTTGCTGCTTCATGTTAATATAAAATTTGGGGGATGAGGAAACAAATATAATTAGCTTTAATAATAATACAGAAAGATTAAGAGATTCCTCACAGGACAATTGTATGTTACCATTGCCAAATGGTAATCAAGTAGTACAAATAGGTGAAATATACAGAGAGTACAACAGGATTTGCTTAAAACAAACTGCTTCTTTGAAGTGAAATGAATTACTCATTTCAAATATATTAATTTTTTTCTTGAATAAGATGGTTTCCTCCCTTTATCTCCCCATCTCAATCTTAATTCCGTTCTGTAGGCATCTTCTCGTTTGTTGGTACGTCCTACCAGCTCGGAAACCCCAAGTGCAGCAGAGCTGGTCAGCGCCATAGAAGAGCTTGTAAAAAGCAAAATGGTGAGTGTTCTTCTTCTGTTGTTGTTGTTGTTTACTGGCATTTTGTAGATAGATCAGACTTGCTTATGTGGTATATTGTCTAATGCAGGGGTAGTCAACGTTTTTATACCTACCACCCACTTATGTATCTCTGTTAGTAGTAAAATTTTCTAACCGCCCACCGGTTCCACAGTAA